AACAAATCCGTATGCACTGTTAGATATTTTAACAGGCAACCACTCTAATTGGAACCTAAACGCACCGTTGCCCCCTTTACAAAACATGTTCTTCCTCAATATGCTCCTGAAAGAAAAATTAGCCACGCTCGGTTAATCTCTGTAGTGGAGGCTCTGAAGGGGTTCTTTTACCTTGTTGAGATTACAGCATAGTAATCTGTATATTAATGTAGAATCAGATTACAAATGCAGTACATGCAAAATATCTAAAAACATCACCTAGTGTGAGAGTGATCACAGGTTACAGACAAACAACTTTGTCTCAGGTAATTAGCATATTATATCACATTAGCATCAAACCCACAAAATGAAGTTAAAAAAGTCACGCTTATTTTTTATACAAGTAAGGATGTGATCTACTGATGTAATTACATTTTTCCACAATATTCCTAACTTTAATTTCTGAATATGCAAAAGCATTAATTGTTGGCTTTTTTAGGGGGGAAATGTTTAACTTAAAAATGTCATGCTGAAAATGTATTGCGTAGGCTAAATAGAACTGCTAGCCAGGATGCAAACAAGACTCCATCAACACACAGATCCATTTTAATAACTTCTGTCTTATAGAATAACATTTCCAGATTCAGCAAATTTTTTAACAGAAAGAGGATGTGAAACATAACTTTTCTATACTCTGATCAGCCTTCCTGTTATCTTCTGAAAATCTTGCTCTCTCTGTTTCCTGCCCTTTTATCAAACTAACACGCGGCCCTCTTTTATTTTGAGTCTCACACCTGTGACTCTTCAGGATCGATTAAGCTAAACTGAGCTGCTTTCTCTGGGCCTCTTTAAAATATTTGGTAATTTATGGTCCTAGCTTTAATTTATGTTAAAAAGATGTCAAATAACATTATTTACTGAAAAATACATCTAAATGCATAAGCATATTGTGAAGGGACTGCCACAGAATGTTTTATGTATTAAGATGATAAGCCATGTTTTTGTTTTCCACAAACTAACCATCTGTAGCTACCATCTTGTTAGTGTTAAATATTGTCTTACTGTTAGGGTCAAATGTTTACATTCACCCATCATTAAAGTTAAATTAGCTCTAGCTTTTAGTGCAGTGTTTTCAATCTTTGTAGGACCGATGATGCAACACACACAATTAATGGATATTAAAAGGAAATTGGTGATTTATTTTAATTTATTGTAGATATTCTTTCCACTAAACATCACAGTTGAACTTAACTATATTTGTTTTGACAAATATGATTTAAAAATCTAATTAATGTTTGATTAAAGCTGTTTTCTCAGGTGTTCTTAAAAATAACTGAAATCACATCTGTTTTTTTAATATACAGCTATGACATTGTACTGTCGAAAGCAGCTTTAAGTTATCCATTTTTTCTTTTCTTTTTTTAGCCTCATGGTTACCACAAGAGTTAGTATTTAGTTTCATAAATATTGTTTAAAAATCAATAAAAAATACTTTTTAAGGTATGCAGTTACTATGTATTTTACATGTATATATGCCTATTGTTGTTCTATTCTCCCTTAAAATTGGTAGTCATATAAATACATTTTGTTGTACACCTTAAAGTGCTGTTTCTATAAGAAATGCATGAAAACATTCATACCAATTGGTTTACTGACAAAAAGCCAGGATTTATATTGTAGTTGAGGTCAGGTTCATTAACCCTCTCAGGCTCAAATTAAGTTCATATCATATGGGATAGTACGGTAATATACAATTCAGACTTTTTTTCAGAGAGACCTTCACATGCAATGAATTCTTGGATGTTGCAGATTTGCAACAGTGGCCCGGAGTGGTAAATTAACTCTAAAGACTGAATCTGGTATGACCGTTAACTTCATTTGAATGTCACAAACAAAAAATTAACAAAACAAAATTCGAAAAAAAAAAATTCACAAAATTAGAGACAACTTTTTCTTAAACTTTTTCTCCACAGACATCTTAAAACTTTTAGAGAAGGCCGTTTCTGTTAAACTGTTGCTCAAAATATAGGCAAACTAGTGGATAAAGCATGTAGCATCCATTGGTACCTGTTTGGGCACACGTTGCGAATCTACAACCCTGAAATCGAGATGCCTCTGGTAAAAAAAAACCCAGACAAGATAAAAGCTACTAATTGGCATGTGTCATATCTATACACATTCATGATTCATCTTATGTAGTATTGATTTCAAAATAATGGAAATGGTAGTGATACTTACATGAAATTGGTGCTTAGACACCAAGGACTCAGCCATGTTGAAAGTGGGTCAGCAGTGTCATCTGGTGAGCTGGAAAGAAACGGTTTGTTGCAAATGCACAACTAAGTCCTTCTGTTGTACTTCAGAGTAACAAAAGCTCTTAATATATGGATGTGGAGTATTTAGCTAAGTAGCATTTAGCTGTTGCAAATCTGCAACATCTGTCTGGAGAGGGTTAAACAAGCTCAGTCTTTCCCTTTATCTGTTTATGAAGTTTTGATGTGTGTTTTGGGCA